TGGGTCAATGTATAATGAATTGTATTAAACTTGAATTCAATGATATAACATCATTGTATAAGAGAAACGATTCTTTGATGAAGACGGTTTGTCAGTCTGAATATTTTATATTGTTATTATTAATTATTATGGCATGTAAGTTGAATTAATATTATAATATTATTATTATTTTTATTTTTTCTATGGGGATTATCAAAGCATCATAAATTAAAATCCCGTTTTCGAGGTTTTTCGTAATTTGTCGGTGGTTTTTCCAATAGCATTAAATTACTATTGAGAAAATCGAAAAATGACCTCTCTAAAGTACCAATTTTCTTAATGATAAGATACTATATTATGTTGAAATCGAAGCACTCCTTCTGGTAAAAATTTTGTTTAAAAAACAAAAAAAAATTAAAAAAATAAACACCATAATTAAACCATTCAGAATCTAATTACAAAATTTAAAAAACCAGACATGATTATAAAACCAATACATTCAGCGCTCCGCACAGAATCTAAAATCTATTTTATCGTTAACTGGTATTTCGTATATATTGCACACTACAGGGTATTGTTGCCTGTTGGTCTTGACACCTCAAAGTACCAACTAGATAAATTTGCTACCAGGAACCATCCTCAGTATTGAAGATTCAAGAAAACCAACTGCTCCAAAATTCAAAACGTTATTTATTTATAAACGCTCAATGTGTTAGAAACAAGGTAGTATACATCAATATAATATAAAAGAGAATTAAGGGTATAGTAAAATTTATAAAACAGCAAAACAAAACGAATAACTATATGACGGAATGAAGAAAACACACATCGTTGTAAAATCAATACATAATTCCTCGCTCCACTCACAATCTAAAATAAATCTTAAAATTTATATTATTAATGATTTTACATTAAACCATAACAAATCAAATATAAAATATAATTATGGCTGTAAGTTTTTTTTATGTTTTAACATTATTGACAATCGTAGCAGACCCAGTCAAAAATCGTTTGGTCATACTTCATGATGAATCCAGGCAAAAATACTCGGGGAAGAAAAACCCACAGAATAAATTGCCCAGGAAATAACAACCAAGAGAAAAAATTACGGAGGAATATTATTACCTACTACGAAAATTAAAAAAGTAAAATATCCAATAAAAAATGCGATAAAATTAAAAAACTTGAATTGTACATGAATATTATGCATTATACACAAAATACAAATTATAATATTAAGAATATATTACTATTAAGTATTATGTGTTTTTTTCGGTTTGAATATTATTATTATTTGTAAGTATTTTTTCCTCGGGCATTAATTCTTCCCATTACCTCATTCATAATATAATGGAATTATAATATAAGTACATTAGTTAATAAAGGGGACGTCATACCTGCAAGTGATGTCTCCAGAAAACGTAGCCAATATTTGAGTTCAACAGAACCAATTATGCGCTTTTACCTCCAATATTAGAGTGAATTATTAACCTAATAGCAAACTTAATCATAAGAACATTATCCGTATTATTTTATAACTACGACAATTCTTACAATATTTTATTTTTTGAGCGAGTTATGAGCATTTTTAAATTGCAGTATTTTACACACTCGTATTAGATAATAGTATATTAGTATACGACTCAAATTTCACTAAGAACCGCACATATCGTAAAAATATGACGTACAAGCACAGAGTTAATGTGTTTAGCTGTATGTTCATTATAACAGGTCAACTCACTCTATATTAATCCGACGACACAAAATTGGTTCTGTAAGACGCAAAGACAACGAATATATTATACGGGTGGACATGATATTATTATAATTGTCCTCTTAACAGTTTTATTTTATAAATATTTCTCAAAAATATTTCATTCAAACAAATGCCAATTTAATGCGATTACACAACATATATAATTATTAAAGTATAAATTTAATTTTATTGAGGAATTTATTTAACGTGATCATTTTTAATTTGTATATGGATAGGTACTATGATTAATGTTAAATACCTTTACACATACATTATTACATATATATTTCTATTATATACTTATATGACTATATGAGTGCATGCGACACTCTTACAGCGTATATTTTAATAAATGTATCGAAGTTTAGTACTTACCTAACTAATAAATCTGACAATTGTTGTACATATTAGTTTTACCTGAGAAGGCATTCATAAATCGGATCGCTTTCATGCGTACATATTCCCACGCACCTTGGATGATTATAAAATGCATTTAATGTATATATATACATCTGTGTACAGCATTGACCACAAACTTGATGCGTTTGTAAATTACCTAGGTATATATAAATTATAATGATATAAACAGGTAGGTAGGTAAATAGGTATATGGAAATATCCTGCAGTGATTAAAATGTAGAACGTTTGACGTGCAAGTATAAATATGTATTAGTGTATGAATATTATATTTGCTTATCTAAAGACATTCAAGGTCGGGTCGAATTAATTTCTATTTTATGTACTCAATATGCTTATTACTTACTAACAGATTACCATAAAGTATTATAATAGATAGGTTCTTAATATATTATGCCAATACTATAAAATTGCAGCGTTCCTACATCTCTTAACCTTACCTAACCTAACCCAACCTATAGTACCTATAATAGAACACACATTTTAATTCTCCATAGGTACCTACTTACTTTAGGTAAACCTACCAGATGATTTCATACACTACATCAAATTTTTATAACTTTGTTTGTGTAACGTTTAATATTATATTTTTAATATTAATTATTATAATATTATATTTTAAGTACCTACTTACAATATTCAATTCTTGAAAAACTTTGGTTTAAAATTTATAATTTAAAATTTAAAAAGTCCATTAACAGCTCAAAACAAGTCAAATTATTTTGAAAATTTTACAAAATGATAAAATAAACATAAATTTCTAGTGTATACGGTTTTTATTTTTGAATTGCAACAAGATGAGAAAATCACTGCATGAGAAATCGAGTCCGATAATGGTGTAAAAATTTGAACTTCAAACGCTCATAAAAATTTAATTTGACTTTCCGGTAAACATTTTTTCTGATAAAGGTACACAAACTTGTTAGGAATCTTGTATTGAATGTTCAAATCTTAGATATTAAATAAAAAAGCTTATGAATTTACAACTCAAAATAATTTGCAAATGTTCTTGATTTTTACGAATTTTATGAAAATTCTAACTTCGGACTCTCGTAAAACACTATTGTGGACTTTTCTTTAGATTTCCACTAACAAAAACTTACGAGGAACTTTGTACTACATTTTCAAGTTTTTTGATAGAGCGAAAAATTTTTATTGTCATTAATTTTAAAAAATATGATAATAATTGAAAATTTCATATGACTATAAATAGCTCAACTTTAGTCAAAATGTTATGTTGTATATTATAGAAATTCTAATATAAACATTCATTGATAATTCCATGTATCTACAGTCATTTTTTCAGAGTTTAACCAAAAACTAAAATCTAATTTATTGAAAACCGATTTTGAGTAAAAGTTCCAGTTTTTCCTTATTTTTTTTTTTTTTGTTTTCTTCCGATACGTTGAGAAATTACTGGGAATTTAAACCACCCCAAAGTCCCAACATACCAAGTAGATTCACTTTCCTACCGGAAAAGATACTAATGTTGAATATCGATGCATTATTTCGACTACTATTATCGTGTATCCAAATATAAAAAAAAAATTAACACATATTATAATTGTGAAATCATTATATTTTTCGCTCTGCAGATAGATAATCTAAAATTAAAATTTTAATAAAAAGTTTTATTTATATTTAAGTATTTAGGTGAAGACTAGCAGGGCCTCGCAATAATATTTTGCCCCGGGCCCGTAAGTCCGAAGAGCGGTCCGCCATGTCGTAATGGCTAATATGATATACGTATTTAAATAAGCGAATGAAAAAAGTATTTAAATATAATATTTTCCAATAAGTATATTTAAATATGCAACTATATACAGGCATAAAAAATATTGCAAATACTTTTAAACATTTACGTGTCTGTCAACGGGCCATATTTAGCGTTTAGTACCTATATTATACTTACTTTTTACTTAAAGTTATAAAATCGCAAAATATCATGCAGGTACATAACATATTTGGTACCCAAAAAATTATACAAATTTTATTTCAAGATATGGAGATAACTCTGCTCTGATCTATGACGGTTTTCACTTTTATAGGAGCGTCTCATTTTTGTGACCGTCGCCGTGAACACGTGTGCGTATTATACACTGACAACAGGTAGTACTCGCGAATACTCGACATTTTCCAAACGCATAAGAATGACATATTATACGCGTCTGGTACGGATGTACTTGCTCGTAAATAATTCTTATATCATATCAAACCGAACGCACACATGCAGGTTGAAATGAATAATAATTGTTATACATTAGCCGGTTCAATAGTAATAATAATAGTAATAAACGGAAGGCCGATGGAGCTGGGCGATGACGAAGAAATGGAAAGGCGAAGACCGCGGCGCTGCAGCGTGCGAGCGGCGGTGGCGGTAGCGGCGGCGGTGGTGAGGTCGTTAAAAGAGAGTAGTATACCTACCTAGTAAATTATTCGCAGCCGACAAGAAATTCAGTCCATTCGCGAGTGTTGGTCCGACACGAGGACCCGCTGTCTATTTCTTCCCGAGTCGAACGGTTTCCGGCGTTCGCCGCCGACGTTGTAATATAATAATAATATATTGTCCGTCGAAAGTAAAACAGAATATATAAAAAAAATATATATATATATTTAATTTTTCTTCTCGACGCTGCGGCGTTAATATAGTAGCGATAAAAAAAAAAGAAAATAAATAGTACGATTAAAAAATACGCGCAGTGTCATTTCATGTGAGCTCACATCACATCGGTAGACGACCTCCGCCGCCGCCGTCGGTTTTCTCGACGTCGTCGTTTTTGTTTCATTTCGCTCTTGTATACAGTTTTCATTTTTATTCGACTGCAGTTGTAGTTACGCGACCGCGAAAATGAACCATCATTACCATGTGTGGTGTTTGGCCGTGTTGGCCATGGCATTGTATTTGGCGCCGGCTCCAGCAGAATCGACCATAGTCCTTACACACACCAATATGGAGAATTCCACCATGTTCGCCGGGACTAGGGTCAAGAAACGAACAGGTAATAATATAGTCGCTAAATTATATTTATATGCGTGAGAGATAGTTTCTCACAATTCGCGTTTGTGTAAATATTTATTACTTATTATTATATTTGATTTATATCATGTTCACATATATAACGCACATTTTCTAAAATTAATAAAGTCATTAAGTGCTCATATTGTAGTTATAAGTAGACATGATAATATTGTCAATACAAAATGACGTATTCCTTCACGTTCGTTAAAGTTTCTGACTTTTATTTAATTTAAATAAATTGTTTTCGATTATTGTTTCTTTATATTGTATTTTGTTACAATATAATATTGTAGTGTTTTTACTTTTTAATGCACTCGTTTAGTATTTAGAAAATAGAAAATAAGTAATCCTAAGAATGTATTTTAGTTTAGAACCAATTGGAGAATATAGACGTAAGACGATGATATTATTATTATGATTCTGCAATTTATAGACGGGCAACGGTCAACAAAATTCGATTTACTATGATATTTTATCTTTCGCGACAGTCGTCTAAGTGACGTTCACAATGGTTTAGGTATTAACATAATAATAATATATACCTAACGGAAGAGTTATTTAATTTCCAATCAATATAATATATAAATAATATATACAATTTTCTTTAGTATCCATTCAACGTCTTAATAGTTTCCGATTGTCAAGAACATCATTATAGAATAATATTATATTAGGCGTACCTACCTATATCTATTATTTCGCCTGTAATACGCATTTAACGAGATGAACGATTTCGATGCGTATAGAATTTAAATAGAAACATAAAGTGAAAACTCAAGACCACGCGCCGATTTGTCTGTTGATAATAACCTCCTATATTATTTTGTTTTCGATAGAAATGACGTCCGCCTGTGTATAGTAAAATAATAATAATATAATCATAGCTTAGACTCTTTAAGCTGAATGTGGGCTGCAGTACGTTTTTTTATCGGAAAAAATTCCGTTATCACTGAAAATTATTTATTATACCTGTTGTAAGTATACCTGCAATAGTATATATAATGCCGTTTCCGCGGGAGCAATTTATCAGCTGCAGTTTGTTGATTTTATATAATATGTATTATTATAAATATTCTCGTCGACCATTTATTTCGCGAATTCAAACAGGTGGATTATTATTATTATTATTATTATTATTATTATTACAGTAATCATACTGTCCGAATAATGATTCATTGACGGCATAATAATAATAATATTGTGTCTCGTGCGCAAAGCGTTAGCCGGCTGCATTGACCGGGAACAAAATAAAATAGCAAATCGGGACTACGGTGCAAGTCACGAACAGTGCAGTGCAGTGCTGCGTGAGGTGTGCGATCGTATACTACGACAACGTACGTTTTCCTCGCAACAATATATATTTTTCTTTCCATTTTGATTTGTTTCTATACGTCCATAATGCCCCTTACACGTTATATTATATCGCATACACCGGCCGGTCTGGGCCTTTCGCGTCGGACCGATCTCGACACCGAGCGCGGCTACATGCGAATCGTGACTGTCGCAACCTGTTGCCACCAGGTACGCCGCGTCGGGTTCCTTACTGCATGCTTTTCCGTGTCACGGTCAGAGTTGATATTATTGTTGCGATATCGCTCTCGCGTACACACGAGGGTACCACCGCCAGTGATCCTTGGTGGTCTGTGATGGGGAATAATGTAACGATATTAGAAAAAATAAATAAAAAAACAATTATCGACATGGTCTGACCTAGACCCGACCGATGTGTACCTACGGCGGTACCTACCGATATAATATATTATGTACATACCGATTTTTGCATATTACGACGACGATCGATGTTCTTCAAAATTCCAAAATGGCGTTGAAAACAAAAAAATAATGTCGATTAAACAATTGTATATAATAGCCGCAGTGATCATATCGTATCGGCGCCGTCCTCGGTCGTCGTGTCCGGTGAAAATGTATAGAGACGGAATTTGTCGTTTTCCGCGGCTGCGTCCCAGTAACATTATTTTACGTAATTGAATTATTATTTTGTCCGCTGACCGTTCGTCCGGCCGATCGGTATAATATGGTAAACCTGCTTTCTGAACTGATATACGTCTTATAACGATGATTTTATTGAATAGAAAGTGAATCTCAACAACGGTGAAGATTATAAATGTGTCGCATAAAATATATTATACAGGTATATCCTAGTAAAACAATAAGTACTTAGTACATATTATATTATACTTCAAACATTACGTGCGTTTTGAATCTAAAACCTAAATCATTTGTTCTTAAAGAAATCGAAGTAGTACTATACTATAAGATAATATGAGGCATTGTCCAAAATACCAAGTGTTGGGTAGTAAATATATCATAGGTATACTGCAGATTTTATAAATCCACTGACACGCGTTGGTGTGAGTGTAGACGTGTGGTGACCAAATTGCAATAAAATATTGTCAAAAGCGTTTTTAAACCAATAGGCGTACGCATTTTCCAAACAAATTTAAATGAATACAATTTATGTACATTCTATCTTACATTTATTTATTAATGCTATTTTATAACATTGGCACGTGTTTAAACATCTTAGCCGGTTTTAATATTAAACAAAACTGTAAACGAAAAAAAAAACCATTTCATTTATTAAAAACCACTTGCCGCTACTCATATCGGACCGTGTGCGATAGAAATTGTCGATTTCACGTACACTGCATTACTAATAATTCAGATCGTATCATTTTCATGTCTCGTGATAATAATTAATTCACGTCTTCTATTTTAAAAATTACCTACGGTAGAAATAAAAAATATAAAATTGCTACTGTACGATAGATCTATGGATTTAAAATCATCGATATGTTTGAATTGCACACGAATCCTATCACTTATTTTACAACATGTTTCGTGTGATGTTTCGGCGGGTAACCAAAGGATGAATATTGTCCAATTAATTTTATCCAATTTTTTTCTGGTACTGTAAATCCTTTAGCCCGGAGTTCAAACTTCTAAGACAATCGTTATTATGTACTTACGTTTATATTATTATTATACTATGCAAATTGTCACTAAATATGAGTAAGTATACGACAAGTTAAATGTACTTCACGAATATTTTATACTTGTAACGTTCTGAAATTTAATAATCGAGGACCTCTATTATATAATGACGTATATCTGGAGGATTTTACGACCCTACACTGAAATCATAATGTTTAAATGTTTCTATAACTATTCAGATACATTACAAATCGTAATATTATAATATGTGAAAACACATAATAAACCACTCAAATTTAAAACGATTCGAGCATTACAAGGAAATGGAATTTATAAATGGTATACAGCTGGTACTTACCGCTGAATGCACAGTTCCTGCTGCACATAATAATAATATGATACACATGTTGCACGCATAATAAATTACTTACACAAGTCGTATTACTATTATTTGTGAAAATATGTGATATAAATAGGTATTTAAGTTGTTGCTAGTATTAATTTAATGTTACGTGATTAATAACATAGTAACAATAATAATAAAACATTTCTGTAATAATGTGCAGTCCAAGGTGGACAAATAAATAATTAAATATTATACAACACGATAATACCCTCGCCCGATATACCTAATATATATAGGTAGGTAACACAATTATTATCGTTTGGGGGGAAACCTAACCTATCCGTGCCCGAGACATTGGAATTAATATATAAATGTGTTATTTGTTTGATTTCGCGTGTTAAATGTAGGTAAACAGAATCCGCAGAGACTTGCGTTCTGATTCGTTTTATTCTACACCTACAACATAATAATAATGATACACCGATTGTAATTATTATTTTTGACTTGGTACTCGCGTAATTGTCTTACCATGCGTTGAAGACCCGGCCACTTTTCTTTTCCTTTCCGATTCTATTATTTCTGAGTCTGCTGGCAGTATACAAGCCACAGTCTCGTAGACTGTTTTATATATAAAAAAGATAGACCAGGTACTCCTCTGAAAACATTCAAAACACAAATGTATAGAAATATCGAATACTTTCATTTTTTTTTCCATCAACTCTGTTGTAAAACGTATACCTTGGTATATACCTATATATTATATTATGTGTGTGTATAATATATATTTTGTGATATATCAATGTATATTATATTTATATGTATCCACGCAAGTCACAACACAAACGATAGGATCGCCAACTGTGATACTTTGATTGAATTTCCGTCATCGTGAAAAATTAAACCCAATTTATGACTGCAATGTAACTCGAATCGATTCAACGGGTACTACCTATATCATATATTATTGTACGTATACATTGTGCAGCTGTACCAGTATTTTTTTTAGTAAATTCCATTCTGAAGGTGAATCTAATCTTCGTTGAAAACCTGAATAATATTCACGGGTATAACGCTCACCGCTGCAGTCTGCGGGTCAAAGGTCCCGAAGCTGATATATTATATAGCATGAACACCAAAGAAATTTAGGGCAAGGATATCGCATTGTTGATGTAGGTGATATAACGTATTATTAATTATTATGTATTGTAATACGAACAAATACGAATTTTATTATAAACGATCCTTAACAAACAAAAAGAGAAAAGGAAAGAAAACTCTTGAACCTATACCTAAATACTATTTTCTTGGTAGAATCGTCATATTTAGTACGAATATTATTGTTATTACTATAAAATGTAGGTACTGATGATAATGAACAAAATTATAAAATGGGTTATTTATTGAAACGAGGTTACACTATGATAATAGCGTAGAGAAAGAAAATCAATTGTCATTTTCACACGATTAACTGCGGAACAACGAAATGGTGTGAAATATTGTGAAACGTTACTCCATCGCGTAGGGTTAAGGTTTGTGTATTAATCTATTTCGCTCTATCGCCAACACGTGGACCGCCTACTACCGTTAGTTTTGTTTTTATTTTGCCATAATAATTATCTATTTACAAATAATTTTTAATCGTTTCCCGCGAGTTGACGGATTACCACCTATCCATCATC